AATTTTTTTTTACAAAGATTTGATTTATTTATGCATATAGAACTGGGGTACAGGCCAGAGATACGGAGGGTGAGAGGATTCACTAGAGACAGAGAAGGGAGCAGAACAGGCAGATCAACGAAGTACACTGCTGAGGGGAGCAGCGGGGGGGTCAGGAGAGGGCTGCCTCGCCATGTGGATCTCCTCCAGGGCAGGCGGGACTCGAACTCATGTGGAAGTGGCTTAAGCTTCTTAGTGCTATGCTTTAACCCGCTGTGCCACCAGGGAGGGCCAACATTTTTTTTATTTTCTTATATCATTCTTCATTTTGTGCATTTTTTCATCTCAGTTGTTATCCCCATGGGCTTCCCACCACCACTTCACCTCTGCACCATCACCATAGTCCAGTGCACTCTCCCCACCCTAGTTCTGAGCCCATTCTCCTTTGCAGCCCATAACATGTCTCTGGTTTATAGTTGCTCATTGTTTTGATTTTTACTCTACAACCTTTGTTTGTCTCTCTTTTTATTTATTTATTTTTTCTCATCCCTTATGTTCCTGCTATGAATGAAACCATCTGGTATTTTTCCTTTTCTTTCTGTCTTATTTCACTAAGCATGATCCCTTCCAGCTCCATCCATGTTGCTGCAAAAGGCATGAGTTTATCTTTTTTGATTGCTGAGTAATATTCCATTGCATATATGTACCACATCTTTTTTAATCCAGTCTTCTATTTTTGGGCATTTGGGTTGATTCCACATCTTCACTATTGTAAATAGAGCAGCAGTAAACATGGGGTACAGTTGTCCTTTTGAATAAGTGTTTTTGCATCCTTTGGGTAGATATCTAGGAGTGGGATTTCTGGGTCATATGGAAGCTCTGTTTTTAGCCTTTTGAGAAACCTCCAACAGCTTTCCATAGTGGTTGTATCAACTTGCATTCCCACCAGCAGTGCAGGAGAGTTCCTTTTTCTCCACAACCTCACCAACCTTTGTTGTTGCTAGTTGGGAAACAAAGATATTCTGTCTTTTTAAGCCTATGTGTGTCAGAGGGAGAAAATTCCACAGACTTTATAAACCATATTCGGATTAGAGTCTGGTCCCCAACAGAACTCCCGCAATACTGGAGTGAATCGGAAGAGCCAGACCTCACTGTTCAGGGAGAGGCAGGGGAGTGCAGAGCTGAGCAAGCCTGTGATGCTAGCAGAGTAAATCTAAGAAAGCAGATCCTCGGCAGAGAAAGAACTGTCTCAGCTGAGAAGGGCATCGAGGATTGAAGAACACCTTTACTTGTTAAACTAGACAGAATTGGAATCCTTTGCCCTAGATTTGTAATGTCATCTGTAATTGTCTAATTGTGATTTTTTTAATGCAGTAAGCTTCATACTTGTAATAAATTTGAGCTGAGAGTGTCCCTGCTGATAACTGTGCTAGTAGAAAAACCTGAGAATAGAAGCAATGAACCTTTCCTGTATCTGCAGCATTTATTCATCCACTGCCTGGCCAGATGGAAGAGCAGCTCAAACCAGCCTGCCTGTAAGGCACTCACAGTTGTGACAGAAAGTCAGCAGCCCTGCCCTATAACATGATAAGAAAGGAGAACTGGGGAATCAGCATTGTCTGCCAGGCAGGCTGGTTGGGCTGGTTTCCTTATAATTTCCAAGTGCTTAATTTCCAAATTTGAGTTACTGTTGAAAAATCTCATTACATTACAATAATTGTGTTGGAATTAAATTATAGTGAGTGCAAAAAGAAGCCCTGCCTATTCTTCTTACTACTATTATACAAATAGATTTCAAAATAACTTGGTATCTTGGAAAAATTTTTATTTCTGAAGTACCGGAAATGATTGATTTTAGTCAATGAATCTTTAATTTACTAGTAGTTGTGTTTCTGAAAATCCTGTTTTTAAATACTAAAAAATATCATTGAAAAATGGATATTCCTAATAACAAGGAAAGCATAGCAGAACTCTCCTCATGCTTCCCCCAACCACCCAAGTCCAACGTCTAGGCTCTGACGTGCAAACAGGACCATGGCAGCCCAAGTCCCTTTTGTTAACGGAAGTAGGCACCTCCCACTTCTTTCTGAAGAGCCCCTTGGTGGCCATGGGCATCCTGGTTTTGACTGCCACTTTTAGCGCAAAGTCCCAGTGCTGGCTTCAGTCCAGTCTCCCAGGCCAGCTCATCCATCACCAAGCTTCACCCTGCAGGTACAGGCTGCCTGAGTTCAGCATGTGGGGTTTCTCGCTGGCTGGCCTCCTGTCAGCCTGGCCTTAACCTGGCTGGCATTAACCCAGTTGCACACCAAACTGAAAGTGACTCCAGTAGCTATCACTCAGATGCGAAGTTCCTCTACCATCCCTGCTGTGGAGAGAGAGTTACCTGCCAGCTCAGAGCGAGGCACCACCGTGTGGGACTTGTTTTTCCCTTTAGAATCTCTTTTTCTACTTCTTGTCTTCTCCAGATCCACACACATCCCCATCAAGCCCCTAGCTGAGACTTTCTTTATCAAACAGTCTCAGAGAAGTGTCCGCCTCACCCAGAAGCATTTATCTTTCCTAACCCTGGTCATTCATACTTCATCACAGCTTTAAAAAACTGGCAAAGATGGCCTTCCTGGTGGTGCAGCAGGTTAAACCACAACACTGAGAAGCTAAAGCCACTTCCACATGAGTTTGATCCCGCCTGCACCGGAGGTGACCACATGGCGTGGCAGACCTCTCCTGACCTGCCCGCTGCTCCCCTCAGCAGTGTACCTCAGCAGTGTACTTCGTCGATCTGCCTGTCCTGCTCCCCACTCTGTCTCTGGTGAAGCCTCTCGCCGCCCCTGACCTCTGGCCTGTACCCCAGTTCTGTATGCACAAATAAATAAATCCTTAAAAAAAAAAAAACTGGCAAAGATTCAAAGTATACATTTTCTTTAAAGGACTCATCATCCAGAATCTACTGAGTCAAGCATTCAAGGCTTCAGAGTGTCAGCAGCATTCTCTCCCTTGTTTGGGGTGTGCTTGGTCTCTTGCCCCCCCCCCACCTTTCTTGTGGGCAGTTCCCAGCTGTGCTACCCCTTGCCCTATAAGTAACCGTTTTCATGTGTGGTACAGGCTCACCGTGATAGCTTGGATATCACGAATAGTTCTGGAATAAAAGATCTTCGAAGAATTGGGTCTAGTTACAGTATAGGGCCTAAAAATGCCTATTTCTACTGCTTCTCAGACATCTGAGGGTCCTAGCACATGGGATGAGCATAGCAAGTCTTCCTGGCATTGATTTCCCAGCATATTTGGAAGTGTTTATGTGTTCATAACAGCAAGCATGTTGCTGAGTTGAATGCAAAATGCATTGTTGTTTTAAGGTAAAGGGGTTTAAGCATGAGGGAATTCACTTCTGGGCTATTCTACTCTGTAGATGTCTCCAGAAAGTTAAGGCAACTTCTGTGAAGTTTGAGAAACTCTGTACTTAAGAAGAAAAATGTATCCATTTTTAAAAGGCGTTCTGTTACAGTGCCTATTCACTCCTTTGATGGGTGATTAGTAGACTATAGATTTTCTCACTTTGTATTACATGTGCCCAGAAAGTTGTGTTTGAGTCTGCTGTATCTGCAAATTGAATGTTTCAGTGTATTCAAAGAATTCAAAGGAATCTGGGACAAGTTATTTATAAGTAATCACCTTCAGATGATTAGGTTTTTGTGCTTGAGCTTACTATAATTATTTTTCTTTGAGGGGGTTCTTTTAAACATCCACTTACATTAGTTACTTAGTTCAAAAATTGTCACATATTAGTTTCACTGAATTATCTGACAAAGACCGATGAATAATTAAGGTTCTATGTATTAGTAGAGTTGAGTAGTCTAAGAAGTATTTTCAGATTCCCAACCACATTAAACATCTAAAGTATTCTTATTTTTAATACTTGTATTAATGAAGCGCATATCATCAATTCAGTCATGAAGTTCCTCAGGGCAGATGATTAAATAACCATGAGATTAACCAGGCTAACTTCAAAGTTCATTTGGAGTGCCGTACTTTATTCCTGTAAGCAATTATATTAGTCAGATGAAAATGGTTAGAGTACATTTTCATTAACATGTTCTGTATGTCCAGCTACTTCCAAATGCTTTCTTGATCTTCATACAGTGTCATCATTCAGTAATGTTTAATAGATGAAGTTATTAAAATTTTATTTATTATATTTAATATACTAGTAAAAGTGAAGACTAGAATGGGTGAGGTATAATTGAAATAACTTGGAGTACAATTTAAATGCACTTCTTTGTTAATTTGGAAATTAAAAAGTATGTGACCACAACTTTAAATGTGTTCAGACACTTCATTGTGGAGAAATTAAGAATGATAGTAGTAGTACATACATTTTTTAGATTATTTGAAAAAACTCTTATGTTTAGTCTAGGCTACAAATAGAAAAGATAAAACTAATTTAGCTACTTTATTAATTCAATAAATATCCAGTTTAAGCAACTGCATAAATAAGATTTAAATAAGAGGCAGACCAGAGAAGGAGTATGATAACCATTGGTGGGAGTCGTACATATTATACAGTCCAGAAGTTTGCAGGCCTTTTTCTCAATGATTGTTTTACTACAATCATCATCTCACTTAGGAAAAGTACGATAACAAATATTACCTGCTGTGTGAAATAAATTTTAAAATTTTAAACTTATTAATCTAAAAATTCTATCCCTGAGTTAAGTTTAGCATAGAGAAAGCATGTTTTTCTGAAAACATGGTGCAAACAACCGTGCAAACTAGTAAATTAATTTGTACTTGACTTGACTTTAAATACTTTTCTCACTGAGATACACTCTTTGAGAGAACCAGATCTGTGACCATGTTCTGCTCTATCATTCAGCACACAGCACAGGGCAGGGGGCTGTTCGGGAAACTCTGTCTGGTCTGGGGCTTTGCAGGTAGCTTGATGTCTCTTAACTACAAACAGAATTGTGGTTCATTTGTTGAAATTGCACTTTAATGAATTTTTATCTTTTTTATCTTATTGTTAGGCGATCAGCTGCAAAGGTCAACACAGTATTTCCTATACTCTCTCCAGGAATCAGACTGTGGTGGTCGAGTACACACATGATAAAGACACGGATATGTTTCAGGTAACACCTTTTTTGTTTAATAGAAACCGTAGCCCATTTTTCTTTCATTTTCCAATTTTGATATGTAACCAGAATTCTGGCACAGAATTATATAGTGGTGTCCAAGGAGGAAAAGAGTGAGGATAGCATCAAAACTATTCCTATTTCTTTTTTGAAGAATTAAGAAATGCTTGATTCTAAAATTGATTCTATTGCAAAAATAAATTATAAAGGTTACATTCTTGGATCTCAGTGTAATAAAAACAGACTTTAATTAATAAGAATTTTAAAAATTTAAAAACCTGCCACTTTTAAAATCCAGTATGTTTAAAATACTTCCAAAATAATGCTTGGATCACAGAGAACATAAAAACTACAATTATAGGCCTTAAACAAATTAACTCTGGGAACGCTGTATAGCAGAACTCATGAGAGGTGATGAAAATTTTACTCAGAAGAAAATGTAAAACTTTAAGCTCTTTCATTATTTGGATGGAAGGGGGAGGTGGGGGGGGGGAGGAATCCAAGGAATTTAGGAACTTTCCAAAAAGTTCTTTTTTTTTTTCGTAGCTAAGAACATTTTTTTCTCATTATTTTATTTTATAACAGTTTATTTTTACATCATTTTGTACATTTTTATTCCATCTCAATTGTAATCCCTGCGGGTTTCCCATCACCAAGTCACCCGTATGCCATCACCATAATCCCGTGCACTTTCCCCCCCCCCCATTTTTGATCCCATTCCCCACTCCACCCCCACAAAATGTCTCTGGTATATGGCTGTTCATTATTCTTGTTATTTTATCACCTGGTCCATTATGTTCCTGCTATGAGTGAAACCATCCGGTATTTTTCTTTCTCTTTCTGGCTTATCTCACTAAGCATGATCTTTTCCAGCTCCATCCAAGTTGCTGCAAAAGACATGTGTTTCTGTTTTTTGGTTGCTGAGTAATATTCCATTGTATATATGTACCACATCTTTTTAATCTACTCATCTACTTTTGGGCATTTGGGCTGCTTCCATGTTTTTCCAATTGTAAATAAAGCAGCAATAAACATGGGGGTACAGGTATCTTTTTCAATCAGTGTTTTTGTGTCTTTCGGGTAGATACCTAGGAGTGGGTTTGCTGGGTCGTAGGGAAGCTCCATGTTGAGCAGTTTGAGGAACCTCCAAAGAGTTTTCCATAGTGGTTGTACTAGTTTGCATTCCCACCAGCAGTGCAGGAGAGTTCCTTCCAAAAAGTTCTTTTTAAAAAATGGTAATAATTAGGACAGGTTCAAAAATAGATTTAGTGATATGTAATAGAAAGACCAGAAATACATCAAAAGAAAGAATACTAAAGAGGTAAAAATCAATAAAAGAAGAAAATATGCCAAGATTTGTCACTTCAACACAATAGAAATTTGAGATTGAGGCTAATAAAGGAAACACAAAGCAAACAAGTTAGGATTGAGACTTCAATTTCTATATGAAGAGTTTTAAGTATTAAATCAACAGTGCTGAAAATGAATAATGTTAATAATTAAATAGCTCTTAAACATAAAAGATTATGCTCAGCCTCACTTACAAAAAAGCAGTGTAGTTTCAGATTGCACAGGGATGCTGTTTTTGATTTATCAGATTGGCAACACTCCATGGAGGGGGAAGCAGATACCCTCCTCAGTCCTGTGATTGGTGTGTGCTCTCTGGGGCGGTGATTTGGTAACGCCCATGAAAAGTATATGCTTACTCCTGTAACTCAGCTCTTTGAACAACTTTGCTCTTGCTAGAGATTTACCCCAGAGACATGCAAGATGATATTTGTAGCAAGTTATCGCTCATAGCATTGCTTACTACAAAAGATTGCAATGAACTTAAGTATCCTTTGATAAGCACCAGTTCAGTAAATTTGGAATAGTGGTCTCCAAGACTGTAAAACAGAGCAAGAAAAAGCCCTATGTACAGATATGAAAAGAACTCCAAACATTTAATGAATTAAAGTTTAACATTAAATCTATTGAGCCATTGATAGTATTCAAGTAAAAGTACTTAGCGTTAAATTTAAAAATCGATGTTTTAAAATATATTAGTGTATTTTATTAAATTTGTATGATTGTTAAGTGACTTAAGTTATACTTACATGCATTAAAAAATGCCTCAAAAGGACATAAGCAAGGCATTAATAAAGGAAAGGGCTAAGCAAGTGTACATAGAAAAGCATTGCACACTTTCAGATTTTTGAAGCATGTGAATGTGTTAAATATTCTTTTTAAATATGAGACAATTCTAGATAGAGCCATAGTCCCATAGTTACTTTAGTCCTTTTGGACTCGAGTGAGAGTTATCCTACTGAGACAGCTTCAGAGTGGCTGTGCTCCCCCTGCCATTCTGTTACATAACCTTTTCACTGTCCTTTCTCCCATTCTACCAGAAAATCTCTTCCTACTTGATGTCATGACTATACTTCCCTGTCAGCGTTTGAATGAGATTTTATAACTATTTCTTTTTAAAATACTTTCCCACATGATACATTTTCAGGTTATACGATTTGGTAGTATAGTTTTAAATAGAGAATTCCCACTGCTAAGAAAGAGAAGCAAGAATATTTTAACAGTTGTCAGTGGTACATTTTGTTACCACTTAAAACCTAGTCACTGTGAAGGCACATGTAATTTCATGTAGTGTTTTTAGTGGCATGTTGTGACAAGGTACGTTCCTCACTATTACATGATCACGCGCTACTCAGAAAATTAACTTTCTTCTTTTCCATCTCTGCAAATGCAAAATGAATGAAAGATTTAGCTGGATTTTCTCCTCTTCTGACCATTGGCTTTTTGTGGTGGCTGGTGGCAAAAACATGTCAGCAGAAATATACCCTCTTGACAAATTAAGTGCACAAAATAGGTCAGACACAGTGTTGTGGTAGCTCTCAAGTTCATTCACCTTGCATAATGAAACTTTCTACCTGCTGAGCAAATCCCCCACCCCACACCCCCACCATTTACTACTTCTATGAGTTCAGCTGTTTTATGTACCTCATGTAGTTAGAATCAAGTAGAATTTGTACTTCTGAATCTAACTTATTCCATTTAGCTTAGTATCCTCCAATTCATCTTGTTGAGTTTCTAAATTTCCTCTTTTTTAAAGCTGAATAGCATTCTATTGTATGTGCATACCATGTTTTCTTTATTCACTCATCCACTGATAGACATTTAAGTTCTTTCCATAACTTGGTTATTGTGAACAATGCTTAAAAAAAACATGGGGTAGGGCCCTCCCTGGAGGCGCAGCGGGTTAAAGCACAGCACTAAGAAGCTTAAGCTACTTCCACATGAGTTCGATTCCTGCCTGCCCTGGAGGAGATCCACATGGCGCAGCAGACCTCTCCTGACCTGCCCGCTGCTCCCCTCAGCAGTGTACTTTGTCGATCTTCCTGTTCTGCTGCCCACTCTGTCTCTAGTGAATCCTCTCACCCTCCGCATCTCTGGCCTGTACCCCAGTTCTGTATGCACAAATAAATCTGTAAAAAAAAAACAAAAAAACATGGGGTTGGAGTGGGGATGTCATATGTCATCAAGATGCTGGTTTCTATTTTGAATTAACAGTAGAAGTAGGTTTGCTGGATCACATGGTAGTTCTTTTTTTTCTTTTAATTTTGTGAGGAACCACTGCTCTGTAATGAACTTTTTTTTTTTTTTAAGATTTATTTATTTGTACATACAGAACTGGGGTACAGGCCAGAGACTCAGGGGCAGTGAGAGACTTCACCAGAGACAGAGTGGGGAGCAGAACAGGCAGATGGACGAAGTACACTGCTGAGGGGAGCAGCGGGCGGGTCAGGAGAGGTCTGCCACGCCATGTGGTCTCCTCCGGGGCAGGCGGGAATCGAACTCATGCGGAAGTGGCTTTAGCTTCTCAGTGCAGTGCTTTAACCCGCTGCGCCACCAGGGAGGGCCCTCTGTTATGAACTTTTAAGTGCTTTATGAATTCTTTGCATCAATACAGAGAATATTAAAAGACTCGGGATTTTTTATGGCTTTATCAAAAGCACACTTACATAAAATTAATTTTTTAACTGTAGGTTCATGGTCATGACGAACACAATGGCCATTAGGACAGATAGGTACCACTGCTTTGATCCCTATGGAAGTACCGTTTTGCTTTAGCAGCATCAAGGCAAATCAGCATGGTGGGAAAGGCACATGGTATCTTTGTATAATTATGAAGAAATTTTGCCTGTATAGAAGTGGGCCTCATGATAAGGTCTCAGGTACCTGCTTCAGAGATTCAGAGATTCATAGATTCAGGCTCTGAGAAATACCGATTTATGTTACAATAAATCTTGTAGTTTAGCTGAGAAATCTGGGTTTGAAGGAAAAGTAACATAAACTAAGGTCAAGACGACATCAGTGGCAGAACTAAGATTTAGTTCTCATGAATTATACATTCTATACCAGTTCAACTTCTTTAAATAAAGTGGGGTAGTTCAAGAATATATTGATTTATTAGGAGAACATATATTATTTTTACTAAAATGGTCTGATTACCTTAATGTCAGATCACTCTGAGCAGAATTTTAAGCAGCTCTTCAAAGGCTCTGAAAAATTCAAGCTCGTCTTAAATTTTTCCTCCTTTTTACAAATGTATATGTCTAAAACATGCAACTGACAAAAATCACCAGACAAAAGCACTGTAGGATTCATATTTCTCAAGTCAGGGACCTTGGTGTTCAGGGCTACTCATTTTGGCCATTATCCTTTAAAAGGATTCCTAGGTTAATCAAGCATTTAAAAACAAGCAACATCAGAATGAATGAAAAAAAGCTTTGTGCTGCCTTTCCCACACTGGGATCAGGTAGTAGCCTCAGAACTCTGAAATACCACAGCCCGAGGGGAAAAAATCAAAATTGAATGAAGGAATGGATTAAATGGGAGAAAGTGTGAGTTAATAGTCAGAAAAATAGCATAGTAATTAGAATGAGGATGGGGTATTTAAACAAAGAGAGGCAAGAGAAAAGAGTGGCACTACTGAGAATGTAAACTATAAAAAGGAAAATATGAACGGAATCAAGGAAAGGGCGCTCTGTGTTGGAGAGCCCCGACAGGGAGGAGTGGTCCCAGCAGCATGTGCCATGGTGGAGTCAGGGAGCCACAGATCCACACCTTTGTTAATATGGGTCCATCCTATCTGGTCTGCACAGGCTTCCAGCAAAGCTTTATGTTCTTGGGGTACGTATAGTTGGTTTTTCATTTATTTGATATCCAGTAATTTTAGGTGGTGATATCTCCTTAACATCTTAGTCAAGAGGAAAATTAGCATTAAATAATACCTATTTTTTCAATAGTTATTTCTTTAAACGCTGTGTGAGCATGTTGCGTGTGTGTTCTGTCTCATGGGGGTTAAGCTCACTGTCCTGGTCCTGCATTCATTGGTTTCATTCCTTGGGCACCTACTATCTATCAGTTGCTTATCTAGGTACTGGGAAGAGACTGCTCAGGTTCCCTTTCATGGATCCTGCGTTCCAGAAGAGGCAAACTGATCACAAATAAGCAAATTTCCAGGCAGAAGAAATAGCCCATTGCAAACACGTCAAGGCAGGAGGGAAATATCAAGAAGAGGGGGAGGGTAGCGCCTTTATGCCAGCTAAAGCTATAAATCTTTGGGTTTTATTGTAGGAGTTGGGGAAACTGTTGGCAGATGTTAAGCAAAGAAGTATAATCTGATCTGTATTTTTGTAAGAAATTTCCAACTACTGTCTGGAGAAGAATCTAGGAGGCAAGTGTAAAAGTAGTAGTTTCACAGAATCCAAGTAAGAATTTATGGTGAGGAATAAGCTAAGGTGGGAATTAATGGAAGAATTGAAGATGTAGTCTTGAAGGTAGACCTGTCAAGCTTCTCATGGGATTAAATGGGTGTAGAGGTCAATAAAGAATCAAGGTTAATTCTTGAATGTTGTAGTTGTAGCTTAAGTGAATCGGATGCCAGTCATTGACATAAGGAATCTAGCGGTTTTCAGGGGGATCTGGGTTCTATTTGCAACATGTTGCATTTGAGATGCTTATTAGACATCCAGGTAGAGATTGGGGGACTAGTATGAGGTCTGGGGGAGGTAAAGGACGTTAGACTGGCTAATAACCAGCATTTGATGAGATTACTAGGAGGGAATGGACAGGGTCTCTTTACGAACTAGCCTGAAAGAGCTACATGATTTTAATACAGGTTAGTAGATGTAACAGGATACGCTAGGTGACCATAAACCCTAGGTGAGGTGGTTCAGCAGAGCCGTGTTGGCAGCAGCACAGGTGGAGTGGATTGAGAGAAGCTAAGGAGATGGTAAGGAAATAGAGGGTGGTAGCTAGTGACAGGTTTTTCAAGAAATATTGCCATTAGTGCATCAGAGAAATGAGGCAAGATAGCTTGGAGGTGAAGGGGAGCATGTTTAAAGACGAGCATTTAACTAGAGCACACGACTCAAGCTGTGCTCAGCCGAGCAGTGCAATGTTCAACAGGACACAATGAGATAAGTAGAAATTGAGAGGAGGTGTTTTGAAACTACATAGCTCCTTAGCTTTGTGGAAACATCCAATCAGCTTCTAATTCTCTTTTTTATTGTCTATTTTTAAAGTATCAATGACGTATTGATCCTTTACCACAGAGGCAGAGTTTGAGAAGTTCCAGAATGTGTTTGCAAGCTGCTAGCATGAACCCATATAATAAGGAAAATTGATTAATTCAGCAGAGAGAGGATGGGATCATGAGCCAAATTTGTGGGAAGTGTAGAATCTCGGGTCCCAGGTGTCAGTGGAGCAGCTGTTCCTGTATCGGGCAGCAATCCATCATCCCATCAGAGGAGGAAGGTCAGAAAACAAGGCTCAGATGTGGCATCACAGGTAGGTGAGGAATTGCGAGGGAGACCTCCCAGGCGCTTCAGCCTCACCTAAACTGTCCTGATTTCAGCTACCATCCAGGCAAATCCCACTTGCCCTACAGATAAAACTGAGAGTGCTGAATGATGCTGGGCATGTGAGTGACCATAATAGGAAATTAAGTTCTCCCCATTTCTGCTATGTGAGTACCAGTGATGAGGTCCTGATGAGATGAGAATAGGGTTCAGTGAGTGGGCTCCTTGGGTTCTGTATGAGAAAATTTTGGCTAGTTCATTTTCAGGCATGTGCAGCAAGTTTACTAAGGAGATGTTTGCCTACATACAGACAGGCAAGGGCTGCGTTTCAAACGGGCAGGTTTATTAGGAGAAAGGTAAAAGGGGAAAAGAGTCACCTGCATAGACACAGGGAGGCCGAGAGATGCTGCTGCTGCTTTGCACGAGGGGAGATTGTTAAAAGAGATGCCTATGTAGACACAGGCGAGCAGCCTTGGCACTGTGTTTTGGCAAATCAGGAGTTGTTCTTATATAGCGTTTTGGGGGGGTTTTGTAGACCAGCAGTCTCCATTGCTATAGCAGTCCTCTCCTAAGGATTTCCATAGCCGGCTTAAATACTGTGTCCATCATTTCTAACCCATCTCTAGCTTCTTGCTTTATGAGACTTCCATCCCAAATCTTCTAGGCTAAGCCTCCATCATCAGCATTACTTGAATGTCATCTGATATTCAAACTGGCTTGGCGCAGCCGTGTGACTGTCCTTGAATAATAGTGAGTTGATCCAATGAGCCAGAGGACAGGCTCTAGGTTTTTCACAGTGGGTGAGTTTTCAGTAAGGAAGTGGGTAAGTGTGTTTTCCTGGCAAAAGCAACATGAGGCTAGTGTCCTAAGTTACCAAATTATATTTTTGCTCTACAGCTTAGATTTGTTTAGACGGCCAGTCATGTAAGTATCTCAGCTATACTATAGTTGATTTTGTTCCAGTTGGAATAAAATGTCATGTTTTACAGTCATTTATGATAATTCATCAAGAAATTAGTACATTAGGATGAAGTCAGTGTGACCTTTTTTGAAAAGCAAAATCTTTGTAGCAAAGAAGCAGTTTTGTGTCATTGTACTAGTCTGTGGCTTTAGCTTTGAGCTTATATGTAGGTTTCGCCAACTATCTGAAAGTAGACTCTCCCAACTTTGTAAGCATCATTAGAGAAGAGGTTTGTTCCTGCATTTGGAAAGGCCTTTATTTTCTCCTGTATACTTTCTTTTGTTTCTGAATTATTTTGCAATAAGTATTTACTTTCTAATTTAAAAAAAAAAGGCTTTTTAAAATGAAACTTATCAGATGGAGAAAGAAAAATATGATATGATATTACTTGTATGTGGAATCTTAAAAAAATAAACAGACTACATAGTGGTTACCAGGGGCTGGGGGTGGAGGATGTCGGGAGAACTTGGTGGAAGGTTACAAATTTCCATTTGTAAGATGAGTAAGTTCTAGTGGACAGCAGAATGATTATAGTTAGTAATACTATATTTTTTACTTGCAAGTAGCTGGAAGAATAGACCCATTATTTTTTTGAAGGTGTGAAAAAAATTACAGCAATCAGAATCAGAAGAGCCTTTGAGTTACACACCCAGCTTTTAAATGAAGCTAGCAAGGGAAGATTCTGCATCTTTAGAAAGATGAAATCGTATGATATGATAGTATAATATCGCTAATTTAGATTTTATGTTGCCTTTTAAAACAAGATATGTTTTCTAACCTTGAAACGCATACATTCAGGCACTATGCATCTGTTCAAGTTGATGAGCTTCAGTGAACCAGGCGGTTCAGTTTATTCCAGGCACATTTCATTAGGACAAGAGATTAAGGGTTATAAAATAAAACAAGAGAAAATGAATGTTGCTTTTACAATGATAGTCTATGTGAGAATGTATATGTGAGATTTACAAAGAAATTTAATAATACTGTTCCAGCAAGCAAACAGTGACAAAATATATACATTTTTCACTTTTATCCATTTGAAAAAAAATTATTTTACAACTATTGTTTTTAGTTAGAATTTTAGATCAGGATAAAGACACTTGGGAAATCGACTTTTGGGGTCTTAAATGTACACATCTGAGGGGCTCTGTGCTCCTCTCAGTGACAGCTTTGGAATCACAGGCACTATTGTTAGGAAAGAATAGTAACATCATATTTAATATTAAATAATTTTTTGTATACATAGATAGGTGGTTTCTACTTATGAAGTATCTTTGACACTTATAGCCTTTGTTAGAGAGACTCATAGAACATTACATAATGTTTTAATATTCCATCTTGAGGATTTCCTTAGTTGTAAAGAAATACTTAACTCTTCCCAGTTCACAAGACAGAGTAATACTTACCCTGTTTGAATTTATTGACTGTGTAGCACTCTAAGCTCTTGCTAATGGAATATTTTTATTCTGAGAGTCTTTAAACTTACTGAACAAAGTACGCCAGCATAATACTAATGGCAGTAAGTCAGACCTTCCCAATTTTCTAAAAATTCTGAAATGCAAATGTTAAAACCAGTTTCTTCAATCTTTCATTTGACCAAACTTTGGCTGGCTTAGCCTTGCACAGGACTCTGACTTAGTCATTGGTCTGTGCCGAGGTGAGCACTGTCCCTGCTCTGTGTCCCGGTCACAATGTATTTCCTAGATGTGGAAAACTATCCCCAGAACAGGGCACAAACGGGAGGCAAGAGTTCCTTTATTGACTTCCTTTTTAAAATCTTGCTTTCTTTTCCACCTGCGGACAAGGGGTAGGAAGTGGGGGTGGGGGTGCTCAGAAGGAAAATAGGACAATTTGCTATGAAAGTAAAGCTTCTTAGAGCTCAAGTTGGTTTGCTGCAAGATCTACATCTTCCTCCAGAATAGAAAATTCAGCTTTCCTCTTGATATTTAAATTTTGATTGGTTGCTGCAATATCATCTTTGGTTAAACAATAAAAGAGCACAGGACTGTAACTTTTTAAAATAAAGTTTGACCCTCAGAGATAACGTCAAAGAGATCCTGAGCATTCATTCCATGTGAACAAAGTATGATGACTTTTGGTATTCTTCTAGTGAATCATGCATATATTTGATTTACTTAGGTGGGCAGGTCAACAGAAAGCCCTATCGACTTCGTTGTTACAGACACAATTTCTGGCAGTCAGAACAACGATGAAGCCCAGATCACACAGAGCACCATCTCCAGGTTTGCCTGCAGGATTGTCTGTGACAGGAATGAGCCTTACACAGCAAGGATATTCGCAGCTGGATTTGACTCCTCCAAAAACATATTTCTTGGAGTAAGTGCTGTTAAACAGTACCTTTTCTCAATAAAAACACCATTTTTGTAGGTAATATTTCATCTCAACCAACAAGTTTGCTTTGCACAATGCTTCCAATTAGATTTTGAGTTTTCAGATAATACGTTCGAAAAACTATTACTAAAAATCAAAAAGCAGTTAAGTCATTTGTCTCATGTGCTATGTTAATGATAATTTGTACGGTAATTATTTTTTTAAGATATATAAAAACATTGAACACATGTATTTATGGTAGATTGAAGGGGGTTAGTTCACAGGAAAGATAAATGGGTTCAAAGGAAATTTTAGTTATTCATTCATAAAGGCAGATTGAGCATGAGCTATGTTCCATATTGGATGTTACAGCTGTGATAGTGCAGAGTACAAAGCAAATGAGAAGTGTCTGTTTTATAGTTTCTCCATGTGAATGAAATCCAAAAGCCTTAGTGACTAGTCACCTTTAATGTAGTTCCTTCTTGAATTGGGATAAATTCTTAGTGAATGTTTACCTTCAGTATTATTCCTTCTTGAATCAGGATATTTTTACTGTTAAAAAAAAAAAATTCAGATGGCCTAAAGAGCACAAGGAATGTATTATCCCATGGAATAAGAAGTAATGAAGAAGGCCAGCCCCAAGGCTGGTTCATCTCTCGGGTCTCTGACACCCAGGATCCAGGCCCCCTCTGTCCTGCCCTCTGCTCCCTGGCCCTGCAGCTCCCTCAGGGGAGGCCCTCTTGGGGAGAGAGGGGGCCCTGCACTTCAGCTGCTGACACTTCCTGCCATAGAGGAGGCCGCAGAGGCACTGTTAGCTCCTCTTCTCTCTTTGGAGCAAAGGCCTCTCTCACAGAAGCTCACTGAGGCCTCCCCGGCCAGCTCTCAGGCCAGTGTGGCCAGACACTGCGGTTGCCACATCAGGTCACCCTAGTCAGGGTTTACCCAAGTGAGGGAACACCGGGGGCACCAGCTCCAGGAAAGAAGAGGGGGTGCTGTGGCTCAGGCACCCCAGTTGTCTGCCCTGCCCCAGTTGCCTGCTATTGGGCTCCCTCCCCCCGCGAGCACAGATTTGTGTGACAGCATAGTGCTCACCACTCGCTAGCTGAACATTTTTGACATTTTGTATGTTTAATAACAATTGTGTTTCCCCATGACTATCCTTTGTTCTGTATACTTCACAGATAAGTACACATAGTGTTCTTAGATAATAGGGTAAAAGCCACAAATGGAGCTGAAGAACATGTCGTAGATTTCTGGAATCACATAGGGGCTTAAAATGAATCTCTGAGGAAGAACCCCAATATCAGTCTTGCTTGCTCGCTCTTTCTCTCTCTTTCTCTCTCTCTCTTTTTTTTTTTTTTTTTTTTTTTTTTTTTTGTAGCTCCTGAGATTTATTTAAAGTGTTTCCAGGGATAAATCACCCATCAACTTGAGCACTTCTCGATTATCAGCATTCTTGCATATTTTATCCTTAAGTAGGAAATGAAAACTGCCCCTGCCCAGTATAATAGAGAGATTCCGGTATCTCTTGGTGTTGAGCGTCATCTCAGCAGGCTGCTTCTGTTCTGTGGTGCGCTCCCCAGGAAAAGGCAGCAAAGTGGAAAAACCCCGATGGCCACATGGATGGGCTCACTACCAACGGCGTCCTGGTGATGCATCCAAGAGGGGGCTTCACAGAGGAGTCCCAGCCCGGAGTCTGGCGCGAGATCTCTGTCTGTGGAGACGTGTACACCTTACGAGAAACCAGGTCGGCCCAGCAGAGGGGAAAGCTGGTGAGTGGACTTGACTTCACCCTGAAAAATGCACCCAACAGAAAACACCTGACTGGAGGGTTGCTTTTTGCGGTGCTGCAGTCCCTGCAGGTACAGGTCTGTGTGCTCTGTGCCACAGATGCAGAGTTTCAGCACTCCGCCAGTCTTCTGAAAGGAAGAGGGAAGTGGCTTTATTTCCTTTAGTGATTATGCTTTTCCCAGAGAGGAAGAAAATTAGCTTTTATTCCTTACTTCCTTAAAAGCATAATCTTCTACTATATATGTCACCACAAAATTGCATTTAAATTTGCTTGAAGGAGGATAAATTTGTTTTTCATGTACAACTACTAATTTGGGAAAATTCTGAACAGTCTAAGACTAACTAGTGAAAATTATGAATTGGAATTACAGAATTATTTGCTAGACTCTCTGGAACTACAAGATAATTAAATTAGCTCTCCTTTCCCCTTCTGCTCATAGTAAGAAGTCAATATAAATTCCCTATATAATTCACAAAAATCATAGTTATTGCTATTTGTTTGAAATAATTTGTATAGTGCACTGACTTGGCATGTTAATGTTTTCCAGTAAAGGTTGCTTCTTATCCCAAATGCCCCAAGGCAGTTGATTTTTAACCCTTTCTCCTATGGAGAGTAATTATAGCTTCAGTGGAGAGCTTTGGGGTTCTGATCTTGCCACAGCTGTGTGGCACAATGCCAGATTCGTAGTAAGCTTTCTACTCTGGCACTTTTAATTGATTGTGAAATAGAAGTCAGAACAAAAGACCTTTTTTTTTTTTTTTCCAAAACCCATAAAGAAGCATAAAGGGAGGAGTAGAAGGTATGAACTAGCATTTTTCAGAAAGATGATAACCATATATTTCTAAAGGGGAAAAGGGAGACAGGAGTTTGCTTTACTAATCCAGCTTGCTACTTCCTGTTGGACTTTTATTTTGAGGATTTGTTATTTTTATTCCGATATCACAACATTTTCAGCTACAGATACAGCCTCTATGTTTTACAGTAATGCCCAGTCATGGAGCATTGTGACTGCATAAATCTGAGAAACATTTTCTAAGACAGGCCAAGTACATTCACTAAACTGGGTTTAAACATTTTTGAAGAGATTGTAGGTAGCCAAGATAATGGGGAGCAAGCTTTGTGACGTTACCTTTTTTGTTTCTGATCCTCAGATTATTTTAGCTAAAACTGGCCTTGTTTGGCCAAACTGGCTATTAATCAACATAACATAAACAGTAAATGGTTGCTGGGTGCCAGCACCACATGAACATTTAGGAGCTCTTAGCTCATTTGTTCTGTGTGGCAGATCCCAGGCCAGGGAAGTAAAACAGTCGCTGTCTCATAGATGAGGGCAGTGTGGTAGAGGGAGGTTCAGTATTGGCCAACGTCACAGACTTAGAAGCCAGCAACAGATGGGACGGAAATGCAGGCTCCCCAAAGAGTGAAGATCTGGACCCCTAGCCACCACTGGGTACCCTCTGATGGAGTAATAACTGCTCCCTGAGATGGTTTATACCTGACCACATCCTGTGTAGCTAGAAAACAGACACTGAATCCGAAAACAGCCACTGAAAGGGCGTGCTTGTCCAGGCGGGCACATCGCGGTCTGAGTTGCTCACAAATTTGGTTATGATGCGGTGTCTAGGTGCTCTCTGTTGTGTGTAGCAGAGAGACATTTCCAATGCTACTGAGAAGCAGCAACTCCAAAAAGCACTTGCACATATATTAAATCTGGACACATTAAGAGTTAGTCCCTGTGAGCGCCCCTTCTGTTTCTGGAGGCTGTGGATGCTGTTTGTGCAAGGTTGACCTGGCCAGGCATGCGGGTTCCTGGGTTTCCATTAGCTGATCTTGGGCTTGTGGGAGACCAAGTGAGAATGAAGAGCTCCACCCTCCCTGCTACCAGTCCCCGCTTGCTAACCTGAAGAGCACTTTGTCTCTAAGATGAAAACCTACTGAGTCTCTGGACCACTGTTCAGCTCATGACTCTCTGGTCCAGCGTGTGTTGCAGGCAGCATTTGATGTGACGTCTCTCTGGAGACAAGGTTTTGAGAATGGTCTCTCCCCTGGGGCTTCACCAAGAGGCTGAAAAACCCCAAATGTGCTTCTCTGAGCTGTAGTTACTCACGCTTCCTACACATTAGCACTGTGAACTTTCCCCTTTCCCCCAAAACTGAGCTTCCAGTCTTTCCCCCCCAAATCTGCCATTTCTTCTATATTCTCTGTCCATGGAAAGTTCTGCTCTGTGTAGACAATAAAATTTCCTGGTGTATAAAGGTCTTTCTTCCTCCCAACCAGAACTCTGGGGACTATTGAGTCTTAATTGCCAGTGTTCAATACCTGTATCTTTTGCCTGATGCCACTGATTTCCTCTTTATTGGGGTACATATACCCGTTTGCCTGGAGAGAGAATTAATCCCAATGTCTCCTCCACCTCTAGTCCTCTGCCCTCTGAAAAAGCAAATCTCTTCTTCCATAGCTGCCTAAATCTCCCCCTTGAGTCGCTTGGGCACGGAAGGCCAGGCGACTCTCCAGCCTGTACCTTTCATCCTGCCACTGACTCCTAACATCTTTTTCAAATCTCTGTCGAAGGAGAACCCTTTCCAGAACTCTCTTTATGCCCTACCATCATAGCAGGCATTGGCACAGTGCTTAGTTCACACCAGAGGGTGTCCTCGCATTAACTTGCTTAGCCCTCACAGTGCCCTTATGGAAGGGCATTTTACAGGAGAAACTGAGGCACCTGGGGCTTACGTAACTGCCAGCCCAGCTGTGTGCTCTAGGCTCCATGCTCGGGGCTGCGTGGGGTGGTGGCTCCCAGCACGCTCAGCACTCCCCTCACCTTCACTTCCTCCAGCTGTGCCAGGTCTGCCACCCACTACTGCTCTAAACAAGCGCCTGGTGTGTAGGGGTGGCTTGACTGGTGTCCCCACTCAGTGGCTAAGGGAGGTGGCCATGCTCCCACTGACCACATCTGGCTGTGCTGCTGCACAGCTGCTACTCAGCCTTGTGAGTACCCGGGTCCCTCACACACAGACACCTCTAGAAATGAGTGGTTTGCACCCGGCCTTCGACGTGCAGGATAAAGGAGAGTGTTGTGAAGCACGAGCCAGCAGGAACTTCTTGGACCTGCCACGAGTGGCTGTGGACTGACTGGTCAGTATGAGTGTGAGTCTTCATTGGATGAAGACTGCCTTCGGAAACCAAGGCGTGAGCTTGGTATGGCTCAAGAAGAAAACATAAACTCTCAGGAGATGTGTGTTTATTAAAATAACTGTACATTTCATGAGCGCCTAAGGTAAGTGTGTTGTGCTGCGGGCCCTACAACATGGTTAGTATGTGTGGTACCTATGTTGAAGCGATGGAACCGAGGCTCAAGGAGCATTAAGTTCAGGTCCTGGTGACAGTGGGGCAAACTGCCTCCCTCTGTCAGCTTCAAAGATGACTTTTGTTTATTTTGAGGAGAATGCTAGTTTGCTACATTCTGCTTTTTAAGGGCGTGTCTGTCAAACTTGTAGGTGGAAAATGAAACCAATGTCCTGCAGGATGGCTCCCTCATCGACCTGTGCGGGGCCACTCTTCTCTGGAGAACAGCCGATGGCCTTTTCCACACTCCCACGCAGAAGCACATCGAGGCCCTCCGGCAGGAGATCAACGCTGCCCGGCCCCAGTGCCCAGTGGGGCTCAACACCCTGGCCTTCCCCAGCATCAACAGGAAGGAGGTGGTGGAGGAGAAGCAGCCCTGGGCGTATCTCAGCTGTGGCCACGTGCACGGCTACCACAACTGGGGCCACCGGAGTGACACGGAGGCCAACGAGCGGGAGTGCCCCATGTGCAGAACCGTGGGCCCCTACGTGCCTCTGTGGCTCGGCTGTGAGGCTGGATTTTACGTGGACGCGGGGCCGCCCACCCACGCTTTCACCCCCTGTGGACACGTGTGCTCAGAGAAGTCTGCAAAGTATTGGTCTCAGATCCCATTGCCTCACGGGACTCATGCATTTCACGCTGCCTGCCCTTTCTGTGCCACGCAGCTGGTTGGGGAACAGAACTGCATCAAATTGATTTTCCAGGGTCCAGTTGACTGATGCCCTTGACAGCCATCCACAACTTTATTAACAAGTTACTGTGAAGATTTTGCCACTAACTCTAGATTTTACCTTTTTATAATACTGTTTATTAAGGGGAGGGGCCCTGAGGCTGGGGACAAAGGAGGGGACTCACCCATGAAATGTGCCAGGGTTTGGGCACGGCGTGGTGCATGCCCAGAACTGGGGCGCCGCCACCGGAGTCTGCTGCACGGAACTGTGCTGGCTCGGTGATGATTGGATTTAAGACCCCACGTTTTCCTTTGAGCCGTGGGTTTTAAATAATCCTTTTCCTTTATAGACATGGACAAGACTTTAAATCCTATTTTACAAAATGTCAAAGACATTTATCCAAAAGTTGCGGACTGTCCGTGTACCTGTCCATGCTTTCTAGGGTAGGTGCTCACTGAACGACGTGCAGTGTCTGCAGGTACTTGACACAGGCTAGACGTGGGCCAGATACCAAAGTGGGAAGCTCTCAAGAATGAACTTAGTGAACAGGATACCTTGGGCATGGTGGTTACTTTTTGTGCAGGGGGGAGAGGATATTCATATTTGTCTTTTTTTGTTGTTGTTAAATTCAGTGGAGCTGGGTCACTTTATAGACACATTCATCAAATACTTTGGCATTTCAAACACTGTCCCATAACTCTTAGTCTGCCTTTTGTTGTTTCTGTCTAATCCAGTTTATCCCCGACGTTCATCCTGCATGGCCAGATCTGTTTGGTTGATTAACATGCAGCAACTCTTAAAATACATTAACATAAGGTCACTACTGCAGCAGCAAATGCAGCTAGGCACCATGCTATCAAGTTTATTTGCTTCCTGGGTTGTTTCAGATTTAAGCATGCTTCGACTTTGAGAACTACTCACTGAGATTTCGTAAGTTTTTTTCTTTTCCCCCCTTAAGAAAGCTAAAATTCTGGGAGCCCAAAAGCAACCCAGCACCACGATGCAGGCATTTCTGCTTGTTCCCTTCCTGCCATCTGTCACCTCCCCTTGCAGCTTACAGAGCCCTGTAAGTTTTGAAAATGTTTGCAAATCAAACTAAATTTAAATGTGATCATTAGATATACACACCACCAAGCCGTACATCTGCAGTGATAATTTGAAATTCCTGATTTCGAGAGAGCAAATGAGTGTTTACTGAGGAATAATTAAATCAGAATTTCATATGAGCTCTGCCATCCCTCTCTGTTAGTTTCATTTCACTTAGAATAATAATTTCTGGATGCTCATTCTCTATGTGGGGTGCCAGTGGTGTCACTGCTCCCAGAATAGAAGAGTCTTTGAGGACATGAGAATGGCTGAGCTGGCCAAGCTGAAATGGATGTGTACCACATGGAAAAAATAACGAAACATCCTCTTAAATTGGCCAATGCAGATTAGGGCTAGATTCTGTAACCTTTGGAAATATGCTTGTATTATAATACATGCATACTTGAATTGGTTTTTCTAAGCTTTGCCTGTTTTCAACTGTTTTAACCTATTTTGAAAATAAGATCTATTACTCTGGCTGCTGCTGCTTAATTTGACTTCACATTTAAAAAGCTTAGCCTGTCCATTTTTGAAATAGCTTTACTTTTCAATGGCAAAATTATAATGAGGCATTTTGTTTTGGTGACTGCTTGGCGATATGAAAAATCCAACAGCAGTCCTCTGATTGATAGCTTACTCTGTTCTAACGTACTCTCTCTGCAGATAGATATAAGAAAAAAGTGGGATTGCCCAGAATAATATCTCAAGTGTCTTTATTTTAGCCAGAGTCTCCAGTGATTAGCTTTACTGACAGTGATCCTTTAGGCTCCCCAAAAATGACAAAGGAAAGCAGGCGGCCCCTCTTCTCCTTCCTCTGGCTACAAGATGTGAGAAAGATATTCTTCAAGCCTCTTGTCAAGCAAGTGGTCTTGCATCCAGACGGTTGGATCTTATCTCTAAAAAGATTTTTGTTCCCAGAAAATCATGCTCTGATGTGCTTTTCCATCTCAAGGATTGTACAGTTGGCTCTAAACAGCATGGATATAAACTACACAGGTCCACTTCCACAGGGATTTTTTTTTTTTCAATAAGCATACTGGGAAACTTTGTTGAGACTTGTGACAAAAAGCTCACAGATGAGGCACATAGAAATATCAAGAAAAGTTGGGGTTGTGACGTGCATAAAATATATGTCATTAATAGCCTGTTTTATCATTTGCTACCTAAGATATACACAAATCTCTCATCAAAAATTAGAATTTAGGAAAGCTTAAACACAAATGGGACATGGCATCATGTTACCACCCGGAGAAATGGGGACAAATGTAAAGATGCAGCATTAAATCATCGCCCACCGCACAGCATACTGTGCTGTCATTTCATAGCCACCTGCTCTTGCCGTCTAAGGTCTCAAGTCGCTCTTTTAGATGCCTTGTGATGTGTATCATCTCCACACAAACAGTTCACCTCTCCAGTGGGGAAAAAGTTACCTGTGGATTTTCGACCATGTGTGGGTCACTGCCCTTCATTCCCAAGTTGTTCAAGGGTCAGCAGTATGGACGTCCCATAGTTCTACATGCAATATATGCCCCCACGTAAAGTTCTTTTCCACCCTGAAAAGTTTCTGACTTAGTAAACTCAGAAAGCGAAGTACAAGTTGCAATTTCCAGTTCTTAGAAGGTGTGACAGTGAACCCCATCTTGTCCTTTTACTTACAAGTTAAGGACTCCCTCCTCCCACCCTCCCCCTCTGCCACCACAGAGAATGGCCGAGCTCCAAGGAAGGACCCCTGTTGATCTTGGCCACCTTTCCCCTTATAAATTTGGTTAATGAGATTCCACCTTCCCCTACCCCCAGTTGCAAGCAATTCATTTTGTGAGAATAACAAATTCTTAACTCACCAAAGTCAAGTAATACAGTTCAGAAAAAGTAAAGATCCTTCTCAAACGTTACTTCTGTTTTTATATCCAGCTTGCAGTCACCTTCAAGGGTGAGTCCCGTCCCCTAGGTGTGTACATATGAAATTGCCAACTAATGATCTGACCTCAGCCTAATCGAAATGCCTTTTGTGAATAGGTTTCCAGAAGTATAGCCTCAGTGATGTATTCCCACAGATATTATTTTTTTTCAGTTGTTTGTCATTTTACTACAAAAAAAGATTCAGAGTAGATGGGATACAACTCTGAATATTTTTTTAATCCAGAGGTTTTTTTAATTATTAATATTGGTGCTGCCAGGTCATGCATGCTGCAACTTTTCACATTTCCCGTATTTGGTTTCACATTTAGCAACTAAAAAGGGCTACAATTCACACCGCAGAGTAAATATTACGCTTTCTGGGTTTGGTTCCCCCGCCCCAACTGTGGCCCAAAAGAATTAAAATCATTTAATATAAATAGAGAGCATATTTATCATTCCTCGATAGTTAATTATAGAGTTTGGTACCTTTGTGCCTCAGGGAAGCCACGTGATATAACTGGTTATAGAATTTCAGGGTTAGGGTATAAAGAAAGGAGAAAGCCATTGGAAAAATGATGGGCTCCATTAAGGAGACTAATGAATCTGGATGCAGAAATATGCCAGAAACTGGCATACACATGATTGTAGAATTCATTTCCAGTATCAGTAGGGAAATTATTTTAAGTTATTACATATATTGTATTTGGAAAGTTGAGGAACACTCTTCGTCAACTTTGTTTTTGCTTATATAGAAAAATTCAAACCCCTGTTATTTGGGAGCTCAGTATTGTTATTTGGGCACTTTTAGGAGTTTAAGGAACTGTGTTTTCTCCTCAATTGAAGTGCAACATAGGTTACAAATTGTTACCTGCAGTACTTTGATTCTAATCAACTTTTCTTTTTAAAAGCCATTCTCTTCTTTGGGCTTGCATTAAAGGATATATGATCACACCATTGTGAGTGCTGGCTAAAAACTAGTTATTCTCACGCCATCCTTCTCTTCACAGTGGAATTTCTCATGAGACAAAACCACAGAGCTGATTTTAAGCCAGCTCCAACTCTATTCCTTTGACTGTCAATCTTAAATCCCCATGGTTTAGTGTTTATGGCTGAAGGGAGGAAGTTCCTTCTTCCATGCTAGAATAGAGCACGACTCTGTAATCGATTCTGTATGTCTCAAAGGCCAACGAGACAACTTCAGGATCTCTTTAATAACAGGAATGCAAGCATTATTGAAGTAGTAAGACAAAAAAAGTTTCTTTTCAGTTAAACTTACATTCTTTCAACTAAGTTTTCACCTTCATGGAGACTTCTAGAGGAAGGTAGGGAAAAGCAAATATTTTTCCAGTTCTACTTAACTATTTCTAAACAAAATTAATTTGATGAAAGGGAAGTTTTGTTTTGTTTTGTTTTAGCTGAGATGAACAATTGCTTCTCTGTATTAAATAGGCTAGAAGTTAAGGGGTCGTCATATTTACCATGTATAGTGTTATGAGCAGTTAAATTTTATGGATATATTTGTAAAAACTCTTCTTTTATATTTCATGTCAAATTGAAAAGTTTATTTCTTCACTATTGTACCTGTGGAAATACAAGCCATTTTACAGGAAAAAAATCTTCAAAACTATTAAACGGATCTCAGTATGTTTGTGAGTGGTTGTGTTCAGACTTTTCAATTGGCACTGGTTTCATTGGGACATTCAATAAGAAGATGATACAAAAGTCAGTCAAAAGTCAGTTTTGTTTTTGCATTTCTCAAACATCCAAGTTGGTCCCAAACAGATTTGAGTTCATTATTGTTTTTCAGTCTACACAACACATTTAAATATAGATTCTGAAAATCCCCTTAATTTTTTTATTAACAAAATTAGATTGGTACTTACATTATTTCTCATAATATTGCATCAGTGTCAAACCTAATATTCATGAGAATCTCACCTTGTAGAATTGATAGATTTTCTTCATGATCATAGATTACTATTTTTGTGACAATCTTCATTCAATTTTAACATAAAGATTGTATGTAAGCCTTCAAGCATTAAACTAAAATGCCTTTCATAAGGAAGTGTATGTATTCATGACAGCTTTTTTCCCACCACATTCATATTCAAGGAGTCTTAGTATAATTGAGAGTGATAGAGATTCCATTGCCAAAAGAAAATGCACATTTATATAGTTTTTATTTCAGGAGTTAACTGTTCATACTTTATTGAATCTAAGTTACCATGAATCACAAAAATGTAGCCAGTTACAACTGTAAGATCTGTCCGTTTTGACAAGAATCTGAAGACGACTCATAATGTTTTCAGTAGGTAGAGTTGGAACTACTAGATACGCATATGCCAAAGAATGAATTGGATGCTACCTCATATACAAAAATTAGGTTAAAATAGACCAAAGGGCTGGAACTACAGAACTCTTAGAAGAACTGTGCCCTCTTAGAACACTCACAGGAGGAAGTTTTATAACCTCGGATTGTTGAATTCTTAACCACACACAAAAAATGTGCACACACTCTCTTAAATTACACTAGCAAAGATAAAATGTTTTGTGAAAAAGGGGCATAATCAAGAAAATTAAAAAATGACCCCCATAATGGGAGGAAATATTTGGAGATTATATCTGGTAAGGTCAATTACAACACATAACATTAATTATAAAAGCCCAGTTAAAAATGGTCAAAAGTCTTGGATATTTTTCCAAAGGAAAAATATAAATGACACACACACAAAGATGCTCATGTCATTAGACATCAAGGAAATACAAATTAAAGCTATGAGATACCACTTGATATGCACTAGGTTGGCTAAAGTCAAAGAGATACTATTAATAAATACTGGCAAGGTGTTGAAAAGCTAGAACCTTCATAACACTTGGTGGTAGTGTAATAAGATGGAATAGCCTCTTTGGAACAGTTCGGCAATTCCACAAATAATTACTACACAGTCACCATGTTACATCACATTTCTACTCTTTAGTGTGTACCCAAGAGAACTGAAATGTGTATTCACACAAAATTGAAACATGAAGGCTTAGAACAGTATTATTCACAGTAGCCAAAAGGTAGAAATAGTTTGAAAGATCAATGATGAATGGTAAGCAAAATGTGATATATATATATATATATATATATATATATATATATGTGTGTGTGTGCTTATTTTCATACCCATACAATGAAATATTTGGCTCTAAAAATTAAAGACATACTGATACATACTACAACATGAATAAATTTTCAAAACATTAACTGAAAGAAGTCAGGCACAAAAGTTCAAATATTTCAGAAATAGACACTCATGGGACACAAACGATAGCTGTTGTAGTTAGGTATTGAGGAGGAAAGATAAAAGAAGAGATGACATGAGAATGTTTCTAATACTCGTGATGGCTGCACAGCTTTGAAATTACAAAAAAAAAAAAATCCAAGAACATTGAATTATATCGTTTGAAAGGGTAGCTTTTATACTATGTGAATTATATCCGAAGCTGTTTTAGAAGATGTGTCCCAAATTCAAAGATGTTAGATGGTGAAAATGTTGTTTAACATTTAAATGTCAGTACCATAATCTCTCAGAATCCTTCAGAAGCAAATATTCAGGATCTCCAGTTTTTTGCCTACTTTGAAATGGTTTCCAAAATCTAGAACATAGCTTCCTTCTTCACACTTTCAGTGGCAATCAGATAAGAGAACATACATATAAGTCTGCTAAAATGATTAGAAGACATCATACTATAAAAGATTGACTACATTTATTGAAATAGGATGAGACCTCAAAGTCTGCTTCCTTAAAAAAGTTTTTATGAATGAAAAATTTTATCAAAGTAATATAAAAATAGTCAAAATAAATCCAAGAGGTGGCCATTGTAAAATTAAACCTGAGAAGTCTGAAGAATAAAAGCCACATCACCCAGAGATAAACACAATATTTGATGATGTGTCTCTAAATTTACAGACAGAATTTTTGTGACTTCTATTTTATTCATTTCAGTCCTTATTCTGGTCTTAATTTTAGTTCTTTAATCAAAAGATGTCTGAAGTGTGACTGTTCCACAGGGGGAAATGATGGCTTGCTTGCAGTGAGTTTCTCAGTAAACAGTTACAGAAGGAAGTTCTGTCTCCCAGAGCACAAAATATGTCACACGGTGGCAAAATGAGACTTGGCAGTTACAGTGACCAGAGTTGTAAGCATAGGTAAACATTTCAAACTTGTGCTCCCCTAACACCCTCTGCCAATTACGGGATGTAGATTGCTCAAATGGGCTATTCTTAAGCATGACTTTTTTTGTAAATCTTCTAAACAGATTTTAGCTGAAGAATATTAAAGTTATTGAGAGAGATACAATAGACTTTTTTTTTTAAGATTTAATTTCTGCATACAGAACTGGGGTACTGAACAGAGGAGCAGGGGCAGTGAGAAGATTCACCAGAGACAGAGTGGGGAGCAGAACAGGAAGATGGAGGAAATACACTGCTGATGGGAGCAGCGGGCGGGTCAGGAAAGGTCTGTCACACCATGTGGGTCAGCTTTCTGGCAGGGTATCAAACTCGTGCTGAAGTGGCTGCAGCTAGCTTTGTAGTGCTGTGCTTTAACCTGTTGCACCACTAGGGAGGACCAACAATGGACTCTTCTGGCCTAATTCCAGGTTTGAATGCGAAGTTACATCACAGAGCCCAAAAGTGTATGCTTAAAATACAGATTCCATAGTTGCCTCTATAGAGGCTGATTGTTCTCAGTTCTCCAGGAATTTATACTTTCAATAACACATGGCACACCAAGTGATTCATAACCCACGCTTTGAGAAACCATTCTTCAACTAAAGAATTGTATCACTGGTGCCTCGCAGTGCAGGTCTCTGAGTCCTATGGTGCCCATCAGTTTGGGCAGCTCTGACATAGTCTCCAGAGAACTAGAGACATGTGGTCACCCCTGAAGATGGGGAGGGACAGCCCACCCCATTAAGCATTCTTCCTGCCTTGTGACGCCAGCTTCTATGTCTCCTAAGTGACAGGACCTGACAACTCCATCACCTCTTACCTAAACTTCGATTCCCCTTACTTTACCATTGGTTCATGCCTTTGACCATTACAAGTGAAAACACTCCTGAAATTAATTTGAGTAGTCAGCATTAAAGAAGAAATTTATCCATAGTTTGGTGAACTGGCCGAACTTTCAAAATCATTTAACATGGAAACTTGCAGTGGGTCAGCCAACTGGGTTTGGATTCC